TGGCACTGCTGGATCAGGGCCAAGGTTGCCGATCTGAAGATGAAGCTGAGCCATATTTGACAGGTCGAAGGCCTGGCCATACATATCCGATAAACCTTCCTTTCTGAGATATACATGTCTATCCCGTGCCTAGATGGGAGACCACCTGGAATTGTGCCCTCACATGTACGAGTGCCCATATAGAAATAACTGCAGCACTTTCTGTATAGACACAGTACATTGTCCTATAGTGAAGAAGTGGAGAAGGCCTCCCCACCTGCCGCCCAGGTGCTTCGTATGTCCAGGTCTCTGCTGCACCCCTTTCGTGCAGCTCTTTATCCCTAATAAAGCAGCCTTAAGCTGGACAGCTCTTCAAATAAAGACGCAGGGCTGCCTTCCCTTAACTCAGGCCGCCATCTGTAAAAGAGGACACACAGACAACCTAGAAGCATCGCTTCGATTTCTGCTGGGGAAAGGTGTGATATTTTCATAATAATGGGAATTATCAGCATTCCCGAGGTTTACAGCTTTAAAAAAATCTCACCCAGGGAAGGGAAGGTGCCATCCATGACTCTTACTTCTCTGGCAAGTGTCCCACAAGCCCAGACGGCCAGGTGGGTTTCTTTATGGCCCATTGGCAACCCTATTAACAGGCAGCAGATTCTCAATTATCACGTTTATTATTATATTTTTACCACACAGGAGGAGGAAACCATTAGGAGTCTGCTACCTCAGGCACCAAAATATCCCAGGCCATCTGTGCAAATCGGACATGTGGGCAGCAGGCCGGGCAGAAAGATGGGCCTGGAGCTGGTACAGCAGAAGAGACGTGGATGGGTGAGGAGGCCCCTTCACCAGGGTTCTGGATGGACCACGTCTTGGAGGAGCACCATGATTGCACGACAGATTCCGCAATCAGAAGAGCTGGATTCTGATGCCTTTGGAAACGCCCTCCCTGAGTCCACCTTGCAGAGCAAAAGTGGCACAGAGCCAAACATGACTCACTAGCAAGCTGGGCTTGGGGATAGTAATCCTGGGCCACCTTGGCTTCCCAGCAACTGATATTCAGGGGCCAACTGTCGTGGCAAGGAGCTGTTAAGCCATTTCTTGAGGCCCGTGTGAGGGTTTTCCAGGCCCCACAAGGAACTGTGCTGGCCCTTTTGGGATGACTCTCAGCCCAACCTACCTCAGAGGGTTGTTGTTGTGGGGATAAGACAGAGAGAAGGAGAATTACGGAATCCACCTTGAGTTCCATGGAAGGAAAACAGGCAGGATGTGAATATAATTGATACATCAATGGATAGCTAAATGACAGAGGTGAGTTAGGCTTCGAGTGAAATACAATAAACACAGATGCAGCCAACCCAAGACTAGGCAAGTCTCTTTGGCACCTAAGGCAGAACATCCGCCTGCACCTCTTCCATTCCCAGGCATAAAAAGGCAGTGATCTTCAACAGTACCAAATTGCTACCCATTCAACAAACCACTCTCTCGTAGCAGGAGTCAACTTCCTGCCCGCATGTCTTTTGCTCCAGGAGCCAATTTTCCTCCTCTCCGTACCTCTGCCTGCTTCTCCGTACCTCTCTCCTAAATGCTGTTGCTTGTCTGCTCTTTTCTGCTCCATGCTGTGATCGTATTTCCCCTTTTTGCCATTAACTTGTCCCCTATAATCAACCTCCTCTGCTTCTTCATCACCTCAGTTCTGCAACAGAAGTACTGAACCCAGATTGCCTGACACCCTTCTGCGGACCTTCCTCATTTCCTAACTGACCACCAATGGACAAGTCCCCAACTTCAAAAAGTCAAAATGAATCCACTACCGCCTACTCAGAGGCAAGCATAACATGAAGCGAAAATGCTGGCTGCTTTGGACCCTGTCCCTTTTGCCTTCCACCTGCTGGTTGAAAGAGACTCAGCACTGCAACTCTGCAGGAATCAGCCTTCCGGTTCTGCCGGATGCTGTCCAGCATCCCTTTTCACCTGCAGCTTCTCTCCTCACCTTCCTCTAGCCCTGGAGGTTTCAGGATTTAGGGACCTCTGGATGGGATCTGAATCTCTCCTAGTGCGCCCTGTTCCTGGGACAACCCAAGATCAGCTGATATCATGCCCATTAAGCTGAGCTTTGGTAAATATGAGTTAAGAGACAGAAAATGGAAAGGCAAAGAAAGACAACGCTGAAATTCTGGTCAAGTTGACCAATGTACCTTTGGCATTTATTCTATTTGCATTTTTTCCTATATCTAAGTTGCGAAATGCAGACATCACCGAGGAATACCCTTTGACCTTAATATATAATTCATAGGCAATGACTAACCATATAATTCCAAGTATAATGGTAATCGTTATTAATCTGACTAACAATAACTACCGAGCAGGTGGACCTCTTCAGCCAGCCTCCCAACTGAGAGATCAGTCATGCCCTTTATAAAATATTGCCTTCTTTGCGGCTGTGGACGACTGCAAACCTAGAACTTTAATTCTCCTTGCAGGGAGGGAGGGAATGAGGGAATTTACAGCTTGTACAGACAGCCAGAATGGTTCACACAATGAACATTTCCTACCTCTGGTTCATGTTTATGTGAATGCAACCCATGACCCAGGTTAGTCCTGGGTTACAAATGAGAATACGATGCCATTGGTTTTTTTTTTTTTTTTTAAGAAACTCACATGCCACGACTGAAGTTTCAAGAACTTTATTCATGTCATAATTCTGTCCCATTGTCCCAGTCAGTAATCCTGGAAACACAAAGAACATTGCCTCTTTCGTTTCCACTGAATGAATTCCGGCGGACAGTGTCCTTGCTTTTCACTGGAATGGCTACAACAACCACCGTGATGCAGTTTGGCAAAAAGAAAGACCTCTTGCGAAGAATGGGTGCAATCAAGAAAAATTAGCCCTGCCTGAGTCCGGATGAAATTGATCATACTCCAAGATTTAACTGGGCACCACGCAGTTCGCTCTTGCAAACACCCCCTTCCCCCAATGTATTACCCCTTCTGCTCACATGTACAGTGGGAAGAGGAGGTAAAAGGGCTGTGGGAAGCAAGAGCAGCAGGAGGGATGATCCCAGACAAGAAATATATCTTGTTTCTGATGGTGCGAAACTTTTCATATGTTCCCATCCTAAAGGAAAATTTATCGACAGAGGCAGTTATATCCATTCACTGCCTCTAAGAAAAAAAACCCTACATCCCCACAATCTTGAAAGTTTCTCGCAAGGAGAATGCAGAATCCTTGAAACCCTTTCCAAAACAGTGAAAGTTTCCATCTATTTTAGCCAGCCTCTGAAAAGAGGCTTTCTTCTAATGAGAGGCCCGCTGTGACAGATCGGGCATCCTTCAAAAGAAAGCACACGTCTTGCTTCAGAACCATCGCCTTTCCTCGTGCGGGTTTGATTGATTCCTGTGCCCATTCATTGACAACGTGTTAGCTCAGGGATAGGTACCACCCTATCCATGTCGAGGCAGAAAATATCCCATAACCCCCAGCATGCCCCAGCTTGCCCTGCAGGGAATTATGGGACATTTTCTGCAGAGAGTTATGGGTCAGCAGGCTGGGGCATGCTGGGATTGTTTCTTCCTGTCAAAGCATGCAATGGGATGGCCTCTTGAGATTTCTTTGGCTGACGGTCAGCCCTCTTCTCAACATGCAGTGCAGGGACTCTGACGCCTTTCCAGCCCAAGGGCCGAATTCCATTGCAGATGCTCTCAGGATCTGAATTCTGGAGGGCGAGGAAAAACGGGCTGAGACAAAGGAGAAAGAGGGCAGGGCTGAAATACCAAGAATGCCGACATATTGCAGCTTAAAGATTGCTGGCAACCAACTCCAAGGAGTGGCACTGCAAGCTTTGGGGATGAAGTGGTGGCCAAAATAAGGACAAGATGGGAAAAGATCAAATGATTAGTGGACAGGGAGAGAAGGTGGCTCTAAGGAAGGAGGCATTTCCTCTGGGAAATCACAGAGGGCCGGATTGGGACCCACCCACAGCTAAATGGATTTGGCCCGATGGAAAGAGATTCCGCGACCCTGGAATGGAACCATCAGCACTGCCTTTGCGAGGTTGGGGAGCGCCCGTTGCCTCAGAAAAGGGACTCCCTCCACCCCTGCCAAAAAAATCCTATACCCCATAATATGCTCTCCCAGGGACATCATGCACTGCCTCTCCAGTTCCATAACTTCACCTTGACCCCAGGTGTTTCAGTGAGACGTGTACCTGTATTTTTTTTAATTGTACCCAATCGATTCGGTTGCAATTCCTTTGCACACTGAGTCTGAAATTCTTCACAAAGCAGCAGTGATCAACTGTTTCCTGCGTATTATACCTGTCACATTTTTTTACAAATGCAGCCACATCAATGCAATAAGCCAAACAAAAAGAGTGATTAAACATTTGCGCTTTTTTTTTAAAAAAAGCTTTTTTCTTTAAAAAAAAATCCACATGGAACAGAGTACTACAACATTTCACAGGAAATAAGTTTTCAATTGTTATGATTAGAACATATATTTGATTTTTTGTTAAAAAAAACCTTTTTTAAAAGGTGCCATTACATTGCCAGTTATCTAATTCAGCATCTGATTTTCCACGTTTTGTAATACATGCAAAACAAAGAACAAAAAAACCATAAATAGGATAATAAATACAGATTACAAGATCAAACAAAGTGCATGGGAAAATACATCAGACAGAAACTCTTCTTGCACATGCAGGACTCCTTTCTAACATTAATGGAACAGGACCTAATCCAGCAGGAAGTACTCCTGGACAAGCCCAACTATAAAATCAACAAGGTACAATTACACTCCTATTCATTTCAAAGCAGCTTGCCTGAGGAAATTCTGATGCATCAGCTTGAAACATATAAACGGACTTCAGTACTGAAGGGAAGTTTAACCAGTGTGTTCCATCCATCAGGTTTCATAAACAGAAAACCTCTCTCTCTCTCTCTCTCTCTCTCTCTCTCTCTCTCTCTCTCTCTCATTCTCCCTCCCTCCCTCTCTCTGAAATGAAGTATTGTCAGAATCCAACCAATTTCCTTCTTGTTAAGCATCAGATTTGAACTGGAACATGATGCAAATGGTTAGTGCATCCATGATCGGGCTGCAAAAGGGACCAGGCGCCAGCAAAAAGTCTCACTTTTGCAAATTTTGCAAGTGTGAAAAACAGGAACCAGTTCTTTCAAAACCGTCACATTTTGTGAAGTTCTGGGTGCTAACCAATGTCGGTGTGACTTAGACTAGACCCATTGAAGTAAATGACTAAGTGCCATTTCTTTCAGTGGGTCTACTCAAAGTAGGATTCACATCAGCTAGTAGCCGAGGAATCCATGAGAAGCTTTGTCGTTGTTCCAAGCATCAGGTTGCAGTGGGGAAGGAGAGGCACAGAACCGGCGGGTGATCGTCAGTGGCACAGGACCATCAGTGGGGTGCTCCTGGAGAGCGACCCTTGGCAAGTGTCCCCCATGCCAGCACCTGACCCACTGGCTTTAGTTAGCAACTAGAGTCATACGCATGGATTCGAAAGGGGTCCCCCATAAGAACATGATGTTCTGGTCTTAAAATGATCTAGCTGCACCACTGACACACTGGGGGAAGGCAGTTGCTACCAGCTGCCTCTAGTTGGGCTTAAGCAGTCTCGGCCTAGGTGAGCCAGTTCTATCTCCCTCAAAATGCCTTCCTTCCTCTGCTGAACAAAGCCACGACAATAAGAAGCTGTGCTTTCTTCAATGGCAGAATATTTCCTTCTGGCCATGGTCACACACGCAGCCCCGGTGCTGGATTTCCAAGCCAGCTGCAGCCCAAGAAATCTATTTCCCTGCCCTCCAGGGTGACTGCGTTCCAGCCGCCCTAAGCAGGCAGGGTGCCCCAAAAGGAGCCTTCACAGACCCGCCTGAGTCTTTCCACGCTGATGGGCACTTTGCAGGCAGATGCGGTCCAAGGGAGAAGCCCACGTTGGCTCAGCTCTCTGCGTTGAATATCACCCCCAGCCAGGCAGAGGTAAGGGTTAGGTGACTTCCAAAGGATTTGTGGGCAAGCCACTCCTTGCCACCATCCGGCTCCACTGATTACTAGAATCCCGCTTTCATGTTAGATTGTCCTTCTGTGACATGCAAGGCCTTGGAAGCCTCCAGTCCCATAAAAGGGGACAAGCTGGCACGTGTCTAGAGAAGAGGAGCCAGGGCATGAGGGCTCTGGACGGTTTGACTGATCAGGAATGCTTGAAGAGGCGGGTAAGCTTAGCCTGGAGAAGAAGAAGATTAAGGGGAGATGGAACAGCAGCCTTCAAATATCTAACAGGCTGTCATGCAGAAGGTGGGTTCTCGGTCACACCACAGGCCAGGACTAGAGGCAAGGAGTGGAAATTGCAGGGAAATAGATTTTAGCTAACCAGGAAGAAAAATGACCCATGCGTAAGAGCTCTTCCGCAGTGGAGAAGATGTTCTTGCGAGATGGTGGGTTCTCCTTTACTGGATGTACTTAAATGGAGGCAGGATGACTGCCTGTCACGACACTGCAGCTGAATCCTGCAATACAGAGCCGGCACTGAATAGGGACGGTTGGACTAGATGGTCTCTGAGGTGCCCTTCTGCTCCACAACTCTCTGACAGGCCGGTTTAAGCACGCCTATCCAAGTTGCTCAGTATTTGTTTTCAGGAAACATGGGCAAATGACTTTCCAGCAAACCTCCGTTAAATTAGCCTGGCTTTTAAATGTTTAAAATAATATTATTAAACATCACAACGACTCACTGATAAAGACAATCCGGAATGTCATTTGCACAAAAGACTCCAAACGGTTCCCTACAGCTGCTCTGCTCCAAATCTCCACTCACGACCCTTTTAACGACAAACAACAACTCGATACGGCGTGCACCTGACATGAACGCGGGAAGGAAAACCATACATAAAAATGGGCGCATCGGTTGTTCTCTTTGCACACTATGGAACGTCACGGGTTGGATTTTAAGTGCACAGGTTTTAACATAAAAGGCAGTGACGGGAATCGCTTAAACAGTCAGGGAGATGAAACTGTTGTATCTCTGGATGTTCCTCTTGAGGATTTCTGAGCAAGGGCCGAGGACTCGTTCAAAGCGAGGGCGGTCCAGCTTGACACACTTCAGGGGCCCGCGGGCCACCACGGTGGCGGCCCGAGGCCTGTTGAGCAACAGGGCGATCTCCCCTGGAAGCAGGAAGAAAGGGGCTGTGTCACACCTGTGGACCGTGCACCTCGCTCTCGCCCCAGACATGGCGGAGGTCTCCAGGCCAGCCCTTCCTCAAGCAGCGCGCATCTTTCTCCTTCTCCACCGGCACTCCTATTCCTAGGCACGGGTCTCATCCTCGCCTGCTCCAACCAGCCCTCTTTCAGCCTGCTGGCTGGGCCATGTAGGATGGGGGGTTTTCTGTCCAAGCATGCATAGGACTGCACCCACACTCGATTTCCACTTTGCTCATACAGATCAAGCTCAGCTGATCTCTTCTTTCCTTCCAACCAGTGAACCTTCACGGTTAGGCTAGACAGAGACAGTTCTGATCCAGCAGCTGGATTTTATGCTTCCAAAAAGGGAGGATCAGCTAGGTTCCCCCTCCCTGGCCCAGCTTGATCTTTGTAGATCCCTCTGCAACTAATTCCCCTCTTGCGGCATTTGACCACCATCAATGCCCTGAACTACTTAGAAGTCTACAGGGAGATTAATATGGCTGCTGAACGGAGGAGGAGAACAATACCGCGCACCCCATAAGCCCACACGGGCTGGTCTGCCTCACTGTTTTCTGGTCAAAAGGAGACAGAAACTTACCGAAATAATCCGATGGCCCAAGCCGCCCAACTTCCACATACTCTTCCTTATCAGACCTGCGCTGAAGCACAGAGGCGGTGCCCTGGAAAAGAAGACCAGAAGGGTTGTGTGAACGTGACTTATGCATGGCACTGAAACTGCAAAATCGGGGAAGGGCGCAGAGCTTACACACGATGTGTGTTGCAAGATCCGGGTTCGATCCATGGTCTCATTAGGTAAAAAGCTGCTGGGGAGCAGGGGAGGAGAAAGACACCGTTTGTCCGAGACTCCAGACTGCTGTGGAAGGACAAAACGCTTGCTTTCAAGCGCTGCAGCCTGCGGACAGGGTTGGCTCCGGGTTTGGTGCAAGCCAGCAGCGCCCAGTGACGGCCACCAGTCCGGAGGGGCTGCACAAGTGGGACCGGACAGTCGCAGCTGGACAACATGGTGGGAAGGAGCTGCTGCCCGTGTGTCGTAAAAGCAAGAAACGCAGACAGACTTGCGGAGCTCCTGGGCAGGCGGAATAAGCACAGAGACTAGCCTGCGCTGAAAGGAGAAGGGGAGGCAGGCAAGCAGACCTCCCAGGCAAGGGCGCAGCACGGCTCCAGACGGTGCCACCACAGGAAAAGCCCTGCACGGTGGCCAGTCGCCCTGGCGCCTGCTGCCTTGCTTCTCACCCCACAGGATGCGAGGAGGAGCAGCTGCGGGGCGCTTTCCCCAGAGGGCTCCAGCCACGCCTGCCCTTGGCCCCCGCTCGAAGGACCCCCCGGCAAGCCTCCCGCTGCGCCTTCAAGAGCTGGGTGGGTGTGCTTCTGCAGGGCATGGCAGCCCAGCCGGGAACGGCCCCCTTCGCCTCCGGCTGGGCTCTGCACCACACAGCGCTTGAGGGAGCAGGGCTGGCTCCTATCCAGTGGGCCTCTTAGGGAGGCGGTCACGGCTGGAGACGATGGGATCCCCTTCATTCAGCCAGCGCCTTTGCTGATCCTAAGGCCACGTCCTCAGTCGTGGAAGGCAGGGAAGGGACACGGATAGGAGGCATGTAGGCTGGCGGGGAAGTTGCGGCGGGGAAGGTCAGACCTTTTCCATCCTCCGCTCACCAAGATGCCTACCAAATTTTATGAATAACAACAATAAAAGAGGAGGAGGAGGAATCGGTGGAGATGGAGAAGCAGGAGGAGGAATGGGTGGAAGAGAGGGAGGGGGAGAGGGAGAGGGCCAACTTGTTGCAATTATAGAGTGCCATGACATGGGCTTCCTTCTGGATTTCAGTCTTTAGCTCGAGGGTGTTGGACTTTTTCAGCCTGAAGGGCAAATTCCATGTCGGAGGAGGTTTGCAGGCTGCATTCCAGAGTGGCCTTGGCCAAAAGCGAAAGGGCACCGCCAAATCGCGGCAGGCTGCAACTTGCTGTAAAACACAGCCGTGAGGCCTGTTGAGCCGGAGGGCCAGATTCAGCTGCGGAGAAGCTTTGGGGGGGCTGCATGCCAGTGGAGGTGGGGCAAAGGCAAAGCGGTGTGGCCAACAACACAACTAACCGAAAAGGACGAGCTTCTTGTCGCTTCAAATTCATTGCAGCCTCGCAAGATGGAGTGAAAGACAGCAGGGAAGCCAGAAAGCCACCAAACCGTTGGTGATCGGGGACAGGGGATGTGATCCTTTGGGGAGCCCCAGGGAGCTAAACTGGGGGCCCAGAAGGACTGGGTTGGGCCCCTGGGCATGATGCTCTGCCAGTTTCTTCATGTTTCGGTTCTGAACTGTTTTCATCATTTCATCCTGTATTTTGCATGCTGTATCTGTTTCGTGAGTCACTCAAGGAGCCTGCATTGCTGGGCAGTGCTATTAATATGGGAAGGAAGGAAGGAAGGAAGGAAGGAAGGAAGGAAGGAAGGAAGGAAGGACGGAAGGAAGGATCCAATGCATCTTCAGATAGGAAAGCAAAGTCTACTAGCTTGCAAAAGGATTAATGTTGCTGTCTAAACAAGCAGAAGTTTGTGCATGCAGTAGATCTGCCCACTGATAGCCCCTTAATGCAGAGAGAATTAGAGAGGGTTAGGTTCTGTGGGGCAGCTGTTAGGGGCCAAACGTTTTAAAGTCTGTGGTCCAGGTATCCTTCAAGGAGCACACATAGGAGCACCTTAATAATACTCGTAGAAAAGACAAGAGTGATTGTCTTTGTCTTAAATAACTTGGGTTAAACAAGAAAGAAAAAGAGAGAGAAGAAAGAAAAAGAAAAAACAAGGAAAAAGGGAGGAGGGGAGGGGAGGTGGACTAACAGGAAGCAAATTTGAAGGAAAATCTTGATTTGGCCAAGACAAAACTTGCTGCCCGGAAGGTCTCATGCTGGGAGGGTCTGGCCAGCCAGGCCTAGGGGTCATCACACAGGTGTCCATTCATTTTGCCTGTGCTGCTCTGCTCTCGTTGGCTGAGCCATGATAAATCCCCAGGAACTGCTGACCAGCTCTCAGCACTGCCTGAACCGCCCCAGAGCTCCCTTGAACTGTGCCGAACCTGCTCAAGTCTGGGTGCCCCAGGAAGATCTTCCCTCTCTGCTCACTCCCGCTCGGGCTGGAGACATGGGAGGGCTGCTTTGAAGGGAGGAGCATGCTTGGAATCGGTCCCCTGCCCACGGGCCGCGTGGGGTTTGTGCCGTGGCTTCCCCAGAAGCACAGAACTCCGCCTGCTGGGCTCACAGTGGAAGCAGAGCACTGGGTGGCTCGGGACACTGCTGCCTTCTGCCCCCCCCCACCAGGCCACCCCTCAAACATTTCTGCTCCCTCTGAGCTGAGCTTCTGGCCTCGTGTTATTTGGGGCACAGGTGGCTGGAAAGGGTAACCAAGACCCACTGGCTGGGTGCAGCCAACACCCTCAGCCCCCCGCAAGGGTTGTCGCTGAGCCAAGGGTCCCTGAGGGAAGGGGCGCTGCCTTCTCTGAAACCCTCTCGGCTAACGAGCCATGCCTAGCTAACCACCAACAGCCCATGGGAAGACTCCACACTGTTAGCTTATGAACTGTGCGTTGCCCGGTTGCTTTGTCATCTCAGCCGGCTCAGGGAACACAATACCCATGTTTCAACAGCAACCTGCACTTTGACACCAACCCACACACAACCCTCAGAGTGGGTTACCGTATCATCTGAACCCAGTGGCTGCGAGAAACCCAACTCCGGCTGCAGTGAAAGTCCGGTAGAGCCGGTTTGTTGCCCTGGATCCACACAGCTGCCCGCCTTTTTGGATTTGACCTGGCGATGTGGCTATGAGGGCCACCAGGATGAAAGTGTGCCCTTGGAAATGGACCGTTTGGCCACTAGCCTCTTCGCCGTTGTGAGCCCGAGAGGCTCAGCCTGGGACCAGGCAGCAACAGCTGCTTCTGGTGCAGCTCAGTTAAACCCCCGTCTGGAAGCTGTGGAAGCAGGGGCCACCAGGACAGCGCCCAGTGGGAACCCTGCGCCAGGCCCCGAGAGGAAGAGGTGGTGCCGCACCTCTGTGGCAGAGCGGATCCTGGCGTTGGCCCCAGCACTTCCAGTGAGCAAGTGCTGCAGTGATGCTTTCTGCCCAAGAGCGCGGAAGATGCTGCCGGTCAGAGCGGCCCACCCCAGCCTTTGCAGATCTGCATTCTGACTCAGCATTTGGCATCCCTACGCATTCTTCCGAAAATGCCCCTCCCACGTCCTGAAGAAGTAGCAAAATTCCAGTATTCCAATGGCTAATTGGTCTGCAGTGCCTGGAAAAGAGAGGAAGCGGCTCCATATCTCCATGCCGTCTCCGAAGATTTATTGCCGACGAAAGGGGAGTGTTGGGGAAAGACGGCCGATCTTACAGGGTGGAAGAAAAAGCGTGGGGGAGGGAAACCAACTGGTCCCAGAAGCGCATCTTGCCGAACGCCACTTCGCACAGACTACTTGTTCCACTTGTGGGGGGGGGGTGTCCTCCAGCAGCCCCCTCCTCACCTCCGGATATCATATAAGACTTCAAATACAACGGCATTTTCTAGATCGTTCCTTCCACTGCTCCATTGCTCTCTGCCTTCTAAATCCAAGAAATACCATGCTATCTGTTGGAGAAGGGCAGAGATGGCTTGCCTCCACAATTTTATTTTATTTTATTTCTTTTTAGATACTCAGCTTGGCAGTCGAGAGCGCTGTGTATTCCAGAGACATATTTTTTTCCATTCTTGGTGTGTGTGTTTTTGTGTGTGGGTCGGTTTGGATTTTTTCCCCCACAATCCCATTTTCTGCCTCAGTTCAGTGAGCAGCAGGTCCTCCATGGACCAAAAAGAATGCTTCTGATACCCAGACAACAGGAAACAGATGCATGGACAGATTATATCTCTTTGCCTCTTGCTTTAGGAGCCCCATGCTTGGCTACTGCTTCCTGGCACGCTGTCAGTGGGTGACCCTACTGGAAATACGGTTCTCTCCGGGGCACAGAGGAGAGGATGCTGCTAATTAATCAACAGCACCGGCTCCGTTCCACATTTCGAATCACTCCTGCAGAATCTTCCGTCTCCACGAAGGCATGGCATTTGCTGAGGATGCAAATCCCAGTTGTAGAAACACAGATAACGTCTCCAACTGTGCACTGTTCCCACTTGGTGATACGCAAACACCGAAGTTCCCAGACTTTTGCTACTTCCCCCGGCCTTATTCCTTCGGAATTAAATTGTTCATAGACCTTTTCTGCAGAGTGATGTGCATACATCTGGGAAAGCTGGGCCCCACCCCACATGTTGCTCCAGGGTTGTCAGTCTTGATTCGAGATCAGTGGGGGAAACTTAGTTTGGGAAATAAGCACTCAATGCACTTCAGTGCACATTAGTGGTGTTCATTTAACTCCAGCACAGCAGAACAGAACACCCCTCTTCTGAGGCACAAGAAGCAGGCGCTGAGGATAACATACAGGAAAGGGTAACTGGCCATCAGACCGTGTGGGCTGGCCAGAAATCAACAATCTTCCAGCCTTCCATGGTTGTTTAGTTAAGGCTTGCTCCAGTGACCAGAAAGATTTGTAGCCCTTTGGTGACATTTTATGAACTCCAGCACCTCAAGATCACCTGATGCCTGGCAAGTTTGAGGAGGACATTTGACCTCAGGGTAGTGTGGCTGAGCA